GGAATTAATTGGTTAAAAAACCATGATCCTTTAATTAAGTGGTCTCCCTTCTCCATCTCCTTTGCTTCTGATTTCTGTAAAAAAACGTGCTTACAACACATTCCTATTCTCCAAACTACTGTAGAACCAGTTATACCTCCATTCTACTCCGATTTTGCAGATGTCTTTTGTAAAAAAGAAGCGGAAACACTTCCTCCTCATCGGCTATATGATTGCCCAATAGATCTCATACCCGAGCTCCTATTCCTTATGGTCATATTTATCCACTCTCTGAAAAGGAGTTAGAAATTTTAAAAGAATATCTTAATGAAAATTTACGCAAAGGGTTCATCAGACCCTCGACCTCTCCTGCTGCTTCTAGTATTTTCTTTGTGAAGAATAAAGACCAAACCATTCGTCCTATTATAGATTACAGAGCCTTAAATAAAATAACTATTAAAAATCGTTATCCTCTTCCACTAATAAATGAATTAATTGAAAGGTTAAGAACTGCAACTATATTCACTAAACTCGACCTTCGAGGCGCTTATAACCTCATTAGAATAAAACAGGATGATGAATGGAAAACCGCCTTCCGGACAAGATATGGTCTCTACGAATATCTAGTGATGCCTTTCGGGCTCTGTAATGCCCCTGCAACGTTTCAACATTTTATAAATGATATCTTTAGAGATCTTCTGGATGTATGTGTTATTATCTACTTAGATGATATCTTAATATATTCTAACAATTTGGATGAACATAGGAAGCATGTTAGATGGGTTCTATCTAGACTGAGAACTCATAAATTATACGCTAAACCAGAAAAATGCCTTTTTGAGGTTACTGAATTCTCTTTTCTAGGATACATTATTTCACCTCATTCTTTGAAGATGGATAATTCCAAAATCAAATGTATTATTGATTGGCCTGCTCCTACTACTACAAAAGAATTACAACGTTTTCTTGGATTTGCAAACTTCTATAGAAAATTTATTAGAAACTATTCGGATGTATCACATCCTCTTAACCTCCTCAACAGTAGTAAACGTCATTTTAATTGGAATAAAGATGCTCAAACAGCCTTCGACGAATTAAAAAAAAGATTTACAACTGCACCTATTCTACAACTACCTAATCCAACATTCCTATATGTTCTTGAAGTTGATGCATCAGATGCAGCCATCGGAGCAGTTCTTTCTCAACAAAAGGCTCCACAAGATCCACTTCATCCAGTTGCCTTTTTTTCAAGATCCTTGAGCTCTGCTGAAAAAAATTATCCTATTGGTGAAAAAGAATTATTAAGTGTTAAGGCTGCCTTCGAAAATTGGCGTCATCTTCTGGAAGATACAAAACAACCTATAATAGTTTATACTGACCATAAAAATCTTGAATATCTCTATA